AAATAAAGCTTGATTAAAAATGTAAAATGCCATGTAGATAATTTTACAAAACAGCGGGGGCAATTGGAAAGCACTTATTAAAGTACCTGTTAAAGTAATTAGTGATGAAAATGGAAATTTCAGGGCACTTCTGTATCTCTTAGATCCCAGAATAGGCTCAGCTGTGCTGAATCACTTCCTCCCTCAGATCAGATTCAAGAAGACCAAAGGGAAGCTTCAATGAGCCTTAAGGCTTGGCAAGCAAATGTGAACTGCTCGGGCTCTCCACCTGCCCACAGGTCTGTTACCCAGCTCTGGGAACCCTAACCCTGCATCCTTTCTCTCAGCATTCGGCCACTTTGCTGTTATAGATGAAGTATTTCAGATTGTTTGTTTTGTTTTACATAAAGATTTCAAACCAAGAGATTTGGGAGGATGGCTGTAAGTTCTATCATACAGAATATTATCTTATACACATTGAACTGTGGTGTTAACACACTGACCCAGCCCCCCATCCCCGGCACTCTAACTATTATCTCTTTTGTATATTCTACCTAAGAATTCTTATGTTTTTTTCTTTTTTTCTCATTTGTGTGTTTGGGCTCCTCATGGATATCATAAGTTTAAGTTACTCTAGTCAGCAGTCTAAGCCGCAGAGACCCCAAATAAACTTCCTACTCACCAAACCAAATGCTGCTTCATTAGGCAGCCACTAAAACTGAGGAACAAGAGGGGATAACCTGGTGGTTTTGATAGTAGGGACCCTTCAAGAAGGTCTTAGGTATAATTACGGAATGATTGTTTCAAAAGCATTGTATACCTTTGGATCCCAGAAAAAGTAGGAAAGAGAATATAGAACCATATCATTTGCCAAGTCACCCTCCAGAGCAAAACAGAATGCACTAAGGGCACCTAAAGATTGATATGCGAGACAAGTTTAAAAGTTGTCAGGGAAAATAATAATTACAGCAGAGACTGCTACATCTGGATTAAAATATTAGTTATAAAATTTCAGACTCCATACTGAGATCAAATTATGGTGGACATATTTTTTTTAAAAGGCCTCTAAGAGAACTTTGGAAAGGCACATTCTTTGTGTCACGTCAGCAGGATGGCTGAGATGCAGATATTATGTTTTATCTTTGTATCCCAAAATGGAAATAATGGCATAATTAATTAAACATCAGCTTTTAGCCAAAAAGATTGTGTCCTGGGCTCAAATTTTTATTAATCTAAGATGTGACCATATAATACTCAGTTATAGAATATGCAGTTATATAATATTCAGTTTTATAATAAATTTATAATGGAATAGAATGAAACCTGTGAAATGTGAACTCAGGGATGTGCCACAGTCTCTCTTGATGGAATTTGGAAGGGCTGATGAAAAAATCACATTTCTGAATATGGCAAAAATGTAAATCTAGTACATGAATCAGGCAAAACTTTGGGGGCTGTTTTCGGAAGATCATTTGGTGATTAAAGCTTCTATAAAAAATTATTTTTATCAGGCTCCGAGCGATTTTAGAAAATTTCCTTGAACTTCCTTTTAGAGATCTTTACGCATATCTGAAAAATGCCATGTCACCCAACAGAAGGAACAAAGCTTATTCATTCACCTGGTTATGTCTGATTCAGATCCATATGAAAAATATGTCTTTTAAATATATGCCAAATCTGCCACTAATGTTTTCTACTCCTATAACAAAAAATAGCCAGAAAGGAGAACTCATAGAAAATTGCAGGCAGTTAATAATATCACAAGATTCTCAGGAGAATTCATACCAACCCACTGCAGGTTTACTTCAGAACTTCAGTATGGGGCTCGGACCAGCCTAGGACTGCGTGGAAGGAGCATAATGAGGCCCTAGGAAGCTGTGAGGGGAGAATAGAGCTCCAAAGTGGAGACAGACTTGAAGACAAAACTAAAGCTGAAGAAGCAGTAAGTTCTCCATCCTAAGGTGAAAGCAGGACACTAGATTTGAGAGAAGGTGATCCCTAAACAAGGCCAAGTCCAAGTTAGCAATCAGCCCGGATGGTAGAGGGTAGCAGAGCTCAGCAGGATAGTCGGTGGGAGTGACCAGGGCAGCTGCCTGCATTTCCTCTCCTGGGGCAGGTGCTGAATAGTTAAAACTTCTTTTTTATGTAAATATTTTGCTTTTAATAGTTAGAAGGGAAAATATTTATATAATAAATACCATGATTCTGGTATTTGATTAATTCACCAAATCTGAAGGAAGAGAAGAGAGCCATGGTTAAATGATTCTTTTTACACTTTACTTCTAAAGCTATCTTAGTAACGTCTTGAAATCCTGACATGAAAAGATTCCCACGTTCCTTCCAACCTTTTGGAAGTACAGTAGTGAATACAGAAGCTGCTCATCACTTTTTACTTGATTGTCCGGCGTGATTTCCCAATGCTGCCCAATTTTTTAGATGCAGATGTGTTTATTAATCTCACCTTGTATCACTGCACAAAAAATAAATGTCTTTCTGGCTTTAGAAGTCACTGTCTCAAAGTTAAGGCATTATCCTGGTGCTCAGTAAAAACCTAGACAGAATTCTGTAAGCCGTAGCAAGCCTTCACTGAGCATCTGAGGAATGAAACCTAATGGAAAGAAAGCTCTGGCCTACCAGCCCAGTTTTTCTGAAAGATTCAGGCATACTGAGTTGCCAGTTTCTTTTTCCATTGTTACCTGGAGACTTGCAGAAACAATCACTGCCACCCCGAAGGGGCTGTGCCACCTTCATCCTGTTGGATGAGATTGGCCAGTTCTTGGTACAGTCTTACTCATATGGATCACAACCAATGACTAATTTGTACCTTGTAAGAAATGACCCACATCCAGCTCTCAGTTATGACAGGAAATTGGTGTAAGGCTGTGTGGATTTCAGCATAGTATCTTAGTTATTGTCCCCACTTACTGTGACGATGCCTGTCTCTACCTGTGGTAGTAGATTAAGCAGCCACTTCTGTCTTTCTGGAACAGGTGAGGGTCTGAGATAGACATTCAATTACATTCCTGAGGTCCTATAAAGCTTGTAATGGACAGGGCAGGAATTTAGGTCTCCTGGCCCTTGTCCCAGGACCTCTCCTTTTCTCCCTCTCCCACACAGACCTTACTGTTTCAGTGAAGGGAACTGACCCACTTGGATAAAAACTACTGAAACATAACATCATTTAGAGGGGTGGGTTTTTACATACAAATATTCAGACAGTGAACAAAAGGATGACATCATACACCTGAGAGGAAGTGAAGTGCAATTGTGAAGTAAGAAGTCAGAGAGCTGATCTATAGGGCATCGCCCCCCCCCCCCATGTGGCATCCACTCAACGGCATTTCTTCTGTTGAAAGTCATTTCCCATAACTTCTTGTACTGTCTGCATATTGATAAGTATAGTCTTAGGTCTCACAATACCCTATTTCTTTTACATTTTCAACCCTTTAAACTTACATAATGGTGGAAAAATATGAAAACATCTTTTTGTTTATAGACCACAACAATCATTAATTGGGTACTTACTAAGTATGACACATTGTGTTAGGTCCTGGGGATTAAAAGATGAGAAAAATTCTATCTCCCCATCCCCCATGAAACTCAGATTCCAGAGAGAACTTGAGATAAGATTATAAAATAGGTTCAGAAACAGTGGTTTTGGTTATCTAGTACAGTCTCAGCTCCCTTGAAGAAATTTGAATTTTCAAAGCAATACGCAGCCGATTTCGGACTTGCTCTCTTTTTTATGGAAGTATCTCCACAAACACACAAATTGAGAGGAACAAGGGTATTGGTGTGAGGCGAGCAGTGATTCTAAGGTCCACTGTCCACCCACAACAGAAGAGTGGAGACCGTCGGGCTACCACAGTGCTCATCCCTCAGTAGGTAATGAATAAAGGTTTGTTGAGTGACCAACTAACCAAGTACACAGGGCTCTACCTGAAGGGAGTCAAATCTTGGGAACAGAACACATGTGTTTCATTTGGTGGAGTTTACGATCCCTGCTGCCAACATGGCAGATTGGCTGGGACAAAATGACCTGTGGGTCTAGCCTTGTTCTCTAAGATGATCCTAATATTACTTAGTGGCAAAGACTCTAAGAAATTTCTTGGATTGGCATGAGTATGCAGGAGGGCTTCTCCAGGAGGAAAAAGAGCAGAAAACTTTTCAGAGGTGAGAGAGGCATGCTTAGCCACATTATTTACTTAATTAGATCTTTTTTAGTGTTTGAAGTCACAAAAGTTGTAACCAAGACAAACCAGCCTATAAGTACCATTTTTAAAATGTCATCAGCCTAGCAGAAACATTAGAGGAGTTTTATTGTATTTGCAATTAAGCAGATCAAATTTAATGTCCACAGAAAAGCCTTAGCAATTAGTACAAAGATTAATATAGTGAAATGTCTCTGGTTTAGCAGGCCTCCCAAGCAAAACTGAAATAAAGAATTCAGTATATGATTAAAAAGCACGTGAATATTAATGCACAAAATCCTCCACGTCCCCAGATCCCTGATGCAATTATTTTCTATTCACATTAATTGTTCCTAACAGATGACATTAATGACTTTGAGTTAAAATGTGTCCAAGGGAAGATTTCACAAGATCAGTGCTGTTTAGAAATAAGGTCACTTTTATAATTATCTGCCCAGATTTTAACCACTGCTCAACATAATAAGGTTAACTTGGTGATTGGTTTTCTTAATGTGAGTATCAAAAGTTAGTTTCCATACTAGCCAGTAAGTATTTGCAGTATTCACATTTTTTCCTCTACTTATTTTTCCCTACTAATTTTGCAAGACAGACTGACAAACTATAAGAGCATGATTACGTTTATAAACTATAATTCATATATATACACATATATATAGCTGATTTGGAATTCTGATAACTAAAACTTTTTTGAATGAGGACGTGTAGTATCTAATCTGAAAATGTCAACTCTTTAGAGCATTAGCTGTGTGAGGCAGGACTTTGAAATAATTAAATTATCACCATTCAATGTTTCTGCTTGGTTTTGCCCAGAAACTTCACTCACGCATCTTAGATCTTTCATCTGGAGATTTGCTTTCAGAAGTGGAAAGGAGCAGAAGTTTGACACAGTCACGCACTGATGTTGAGCTGCACGTGAGTTTCCCAGTTGCCTTCAGAACACTTGTTTAGGTTGTTACTTTCCTTCCATCAAATATGATGTCACAAGTGAACCAGAAAGTGTATCCTTGAAGCATTGTCAGGCAGATAAAATTGCTTTCCTTTCTTGTGTTCTCTGAAATTCAATATCATGTCCCCCAGCTGATATAGTAAGCAGAAAGTGTCACTCTCTGCAAAAATATCATAAATCTTGGCTTTGTCCCCAAGATACCTTTTTTAGGTATTGATTACATCTCAGAGTCTGTGAGAAATGGTCAAAGAGCTTTTTATTAAAACCCACGTCCCATATTATTCATCCTACTTTTATGATATATTATGTATGAACTTTTAAAAATTCATGGGGTCTGCATTTTTTTCTTTAGCTGGGGTTAGCTTTGTGCTTATTTGGCAAAACTTTAACCAGCATGGCTTTTAACTCTCATGGACATAGAAAGAGTAACTCGAAAAAACACAATAGCCAAAAAGATGTATAATGAAAAGCGTTAGGCTTCAAAAATGATGTGAATAACTGATTTTTTTATTTTACACTATAATTTCATCAGTGTATGTAGGATATCAAAAGTAAATATTCTCAAATTAGATTGGAATTAAATTTCAGTAGAATGCTGTCACTTTACACATTCAAAAAGACCATATGACATTTAATCTATAATATGTCCTAAAGGTTAAAAGATTTATAAGTATGTGGTTTTTCTTTTTAAGTGTGCAGAATAGAACTCTGAGCTTCACTCTCTATCGCTCTGTCTATTGTTAAGAGTAAGATTACAGATTTCATAATGCATTTCCCACAGTAAAGATGATAAAGCATGTGTGAGCCATACGTGGTGATATTCTAAAATAAACAGTGACAAAAGTACACTCTGGATAGTGCAAACAGGATGTATTTTTGCCAATTAAATCAACATAATTAAGATAATGTTGCAATGGAAGCCAGTATATATTTTGTGACAAAGAAGAATTTTAAGAATAACCCTCATCTATTATCAACAACAGCTATCCCTGGTGGGCGTCATGGTGTTCTGCACACCCCTCTGAGTTCTGCCATCATCAGAGGTCTTACTTGGCATCATGGCATAATGGCTAGGACCTGGGCCTGGCGTCAGAATGTTGTATTGGCTGGGTGACTTTGGGCAAGGTATTAAAACCTCAGTGCCTCAGTTTTCCCTTGGGAAATAAAGGTAATACCGTGTTTCCCCAAAATAAGACACTGTCTTATATTTATTTTTTTCTCAAGAAGACACACTAGGGCTTATTTTCAGGGGATGTCTTCCTCTCTGCACCAAAATGCATAGGTCTTATTTTTAGAGTAGGGCTTATATGTAACAAATGCATAGAAATCCTGCTAGGGCTTATTTTGGGGGTAGGTCTTATTTTGGGGGGAACGCAGTATTTCTTTTCCATTTCAGAGAGTTGTGGTGAAGATTAAATGAGATAATATGTGAGATTTATGTATCCCTGTGCCTGATCATAATAAGACCTCTGTGGCTTTAGCTCTTCTCTGTCCTCCTTTGATATGTGGCTCCATGCCACAGCCAGAAAAAACAAGGCATGGGTAGAAATGATAACTCAGAAAGGTACCTACTGAGATGTCCCTCCAGAAGCTCACGTCAGCAATCCCCAGAAACAAAATACACCCACTTTTGGCTATTGCCCAACACGGTTATTTTACCACTTAACTTATGTGGAAGGCATTAGAGTATGACAGGGTCTCACGAAGTGTAAAGCAGAGTCTTTTAGGGAGACTGTGAACAGATGGCTTCGTTGAAGAGCCAAGACATGTAGATGAGGGCTGTCCAGAAAGCATCTAGCCATGTACTATGAGAAATGGAGACATACATGGCTGAATGCTTTCTGGACAACCCTCATATATGTTTAAAAAAATGGTTAATGATGGTGGCAACACCTAAAAATACTTAAGCATTACCACATGCCAGGGGCTGTTCCATTTTCACAATGACCTTGTGTATTACATGCTTTCATTCTCTTCATTTACAAGGAAAGAAACTGAGGCACAGATGGGTTAAGTAATTTGCCAGGATCAAAGACAGCTAGCAGGGGGGAAGAGCCAGGATTGAAACCTCATAAACAGCCACAGAGTTCAAGTGCTGAACCACAGAACAGTAATTGACTGGAGTAGATGATCCTACATGATTATCACATGCTGATGAAGGAAATTCTAGGAAAAAAGAGCTCACTTTCAAGCCATGATGTCAGGGACTCTGGGCGCCTTATTAAATTCAGACAATGGTTGTCCTATATGGGGGAGGGTGGGAGAATTTCCCAGTAGGCAGAAGTGGGCCCTTCCTGTTCTTTGCAAGGAATTACTCTGTACACCCCTACACATGCACACCCACCTTCCCATGTCACTGGCCTGTGGATGGGTTCAGTCATTCCCCTTATCCCGCTCAACACAGCCCAGGTCAGACTGTGAAATGATACGAGGTATAGCCAAGAATCTCCACAAGGGACAGCCTTCTCTGATAGCTTCTCCTGGAAGTTTCCTGTGCAAAGCATGGGTCACAAAACAGCAGCATCAAGGCACCTGGGAACTTGTTAAAAAAATACTGCATGCATCTCAGATCCTCCCTCAGAATGACTGAATGAGAATCTGCATTTTAACAAGATCCCCTGGTTGTTCGTATGCACATTAAAGCATGAAAAGTCTGTCTTAGACCTCTCTGATTAAGCATCCCCCACCTGCCTGTGCGTGGCATTGGCAAGCCTTTTCCACCTCCCTCAAGTATCCTCTATCACATCTGGGCATGTCAAGTTCAGGGCCGAAGGAAAGGCAGCATTCCTTCCTGCTGAAGCCCATCTCCTGAGTTCTAGTTTCCTGTCATCTTAAATCTAGCCTCTGTACCAGAGATATACACATGCAGATGACTGGGAAAGGGTGCTTCTTCATTAAATGAGGCCTGGGAATCGAGTTGAGGTGTTAAAAGTAGGTATAATTTTGATAGATGTAATGGGAAAGGAGAGGTAGGGAAGACAGAGGGACTCACACACAATAGCTCAGTACCTTGGGAAAAGATAGAATGTAAATCATAACCAAAAACTGAGCAGAGTGTGAAAAAGCCACTGGAGAAGTTTAGATCTGGATAGCCTGGAAGGACGCAGACACTCTCTCTGATCCGTCAGAGCAGAGGCAGTCCTAAATAATAAACCCACCCTGCTTACTAAACAACAGAACATGAGGGAACAGGATGGAGGAAATGGAGAGCACACAAGTAGAAGCAGAACCTATGTGGAATTTCTAAAGGTTTGTTCAGATCCCCTTCCAGATGTCTGCAATGAGTGAGGCTTACATGGCAGGTGCCCTTGTGCGATAGAATCATTAGCTGTAGGCATCTGTTCAGATACCAGTGTGAACTTCCCTTAACCAAGTTATATCTGGCATTAAAAAAGGTCATAAATCAGTAGATATTGCCGAAAGCTGGATTTTAAGATACATTTCTCCTTTGAATTATGCTTAGAGCCAAATTTCAGGAGGCAAAATGAAGTAGTAAAATTTCTTGGCATTTGTAGATCACTTAAAAAGATTGTTATGCAGCAAAAATGAAGTATTGATAGCAAGGCAAATGCCTAATACTGAAAATCTGACATTATTAAGCATTATGGATATTGATTAGAGAGCAAATTAAACATGCCCTGTATACTTATGTAGGGGCTTAATATTTGCCACAAGTACTTTCAGATTATCCTGCCTTCCTTCCCCAAGCTGGTGTTTAGTCACCGTCAGTTAGAATTGCATTTGGAGAACAGTGATAAGTACTCAGGTACTAAAGGCACCCATAAAGTGTCAATAAATTGCATAAGTAAGAAGCTTTGCCACTCTGCAAGTGACAAAAAGACAGATGGCTCCCCATCAAAGAGTTTCTGAAACAAAGCTTTGTATAAATAGGAGACTGGAATTAGATCGTAATAGGGAGATTCTATTCTCAGTGGTCAGAATGCTAAATTAATTTAGCCTGGCTAGCTTCTGGAGCTTCATCTGTTACGTGAGGGGCTTGTAATGTGGCTGTCATGATATGGTTGGATGTTTGCAGGTTTCTTTGTCACCTTGCTTTATGTAGACCCACTAGAATTCTAACAGCCTGGACCTTCTGCAAGGGACCCAAATCTATTCGATATGAAGATTGGATATGAAAAGTTATATTACTTTTTTCAGTAGAGACTCAATGACACCTGAGTTTGGTATCTGCTGTGCATGGCTTGCTATTGGGTAGCACAGATATGCAGTGGGCGTTTGGTTGCTGACTTAGAAAGATGCTATCAGAGCTAGAGAGGACCATGGCCATAATCTGGTAGAGCTGCCCCATTCTACAGATGAAGACACTAAGGTCTATGGAAGTTAAATATTTTCTTTGCCCATGAAGTGGCCATGTATAACCTGAGCTCCAGACCATGAGATTTGCAGTCTAGTGTGCATGTTGTTGAACTTGTAGACAAAGTCTTCTTCCTTTTGTGGCACTGGAGGAGTTGTGTTTTGATATTGATCTGATTTTCTCAAAAGCATAGCTGGATAAAATGAGAAACCACCACTGAACTATTTTGCCTAATAATGGTAGTAACTTGTTATAATTAAGTGCCTACTATAGGCCAGACACTCTGGTATGCACTTCACAGCTGGGACCTCATGTAGTCTTTGCAATAACCCTATAAAGGTAGGCAGTATTATCATTATTCCCTTTCAAAAGGGAAATATGGCTGTAAAAGATGAAATAATTTCCCTGTAGTCACAGTTATTAAGAAGCAGGACCGAGATTTTAGATCACAGTCAGTGTGACTCCAAAGTCTGTGCCTGTAATTACTGCACCATACTACACAGAGAATCCCTGACTTACAATGGTTTGAATTAGTGAGTTTTCACCTTTACAAGTGCAAGTGATATGATTTCAGTAGAAACCATACTTTGAGAAGCAGCTGTTCTGTTTTCACCTGTTAATACAGTATTCAATCAATTACATGAGCTATTCAACAATTTATTATAAAATAGGCTTTGTGTTAGATGGTATTGCTCAATGTAAGCATTCTGAACACATTTAACGTAAGCTAGGCTAAGCTATGCTGTTTTGTAAGTTAGATGTGTTAAATTCATTTCAACTTGTGATGGGTTTGTTGGGATGAAATGTTGTCTTAAGTCAAGGAGCATCTGTATTCCTTCCTAGCTCACTGTGAGGTTCAGGTGATATTTACTCTCCACTAAGCAAAGCTCTTACTTAGAGCTGTCCTACTCTTTCAGGAATACCAACTGAATGCAAAATCAGGAACCCCAGCTTTGAAATGCCCAGGCTTGGGGATTGTTGTCCCTGGTCATCTCTGTCCTCGAAACAGCTGCAGCAGCAGTGAACTGTCTCTTTCAAGCACCTGCAGCGAGTACTCCAGTGGCTCCTCCTACACATGGCATGATGGGAAGAACCTCAGGAAAAGGGTAAGATCTCCTTCGAAGGCACTTGGGCATCAGAGTGAACCAGAAAAGAATCCTCTTCTGGTAGGTTTTGGTCATGGAGACAGGATGGGAGGGAGGAGTAAAAAGGCAATGCCCGTTTGTTGAGTACCTGCTTACGTATTATATTGACCTCCTCCGATCAACATGAGGATGTTGGTATGTAATGTTTCAACATAGCCTCGTGAAACATTATGTGACTTGACTTTGAAGGACAGCATCGTAAAGACAGAAGAGACTAGGGAAGACAGGGACCATGACATCAGTGAATTAAATTTAAATTACTACCACTAGAGTGACTCCCATCTGCACAGTAGGCCCACAGAGCTGAAGATTTCTCATGCTTAGAATAAATCTCCTTGCACACCAGTGTAAGGCAAATATTTGAAATACGTGTTTTAGCAATTCCCTAATGTTGAAGAAAAGCAAAGAGTACATGATAATAGGAACTCCGAATCGGAATATTTGGAGGTCGTTTTTTCTATCATTTATATAAGCTTAGTTTATAGTTTTGGCAATGTAGAAACCAGAAAGAATTCAAAACTTCCAGAAAATACTGGCGGGCAAGTAGCTTTGTCATTCTCTGAGCAAGAACTCAGAAAAAGATTTCAAACTTGCATTTAGAGCTTATTCCCTTGGACTCAGACATCTAATGCAAAGTACAGAACCCGCTACATTATCAAAATTGCTCCCTCTAAGGAGTTGTTAGGAGCTCTGACTAATGACTGCTAGGGCCTGGGCTCAGAACGGATTGGGAAGATTGGGAAGATGGCTGGGGACATTTTCTCCTTTTGTCTGTGAATCCCGCTGGCTCCCAGGACTCCTTGCTCTGATTTATTCATTCTTGCACTCCTCCTGTCTCTGCCTCTCAGAGTCTTTTTACTTTCTTTCTTTCTTTTTTTTTTTTTTTTTGCTAAAGGTCTTCCAATGAGAGCACTCCTTGAGGTTCTAAGGCAGGTGTCCTCAAACTACAGCCCGTGAGCCACATGCAGCCCGCCTAGGACATTTATCTGGCCTGCCAGGTGTTTTAGCTGCTGCGGCCTGTCCTGCTTAGCAGCCAACTCATCCTGTACCAACAGTCCAGCCCTCCAGCAGTCTGAGGGACAGTGAACTGGCCCCCTGTTTAAAAAGTTTGAGGACCCCTGTTCTAAGGCAATCGCTTCCCTGAAAGACAAGTAAAACGGTTCTTGAGAAACTTCATGGACACTCAGGTGATCATCCTCTGGATCCTAACTGGGTTCTGTCATAGTGATGGAATACTAGTACACCTGTCACACCTCCCAGTGGCCAGTCCTGGATCTCAGGGACCCAGCAGGCTAGGCCCAGTCATGTCAAGACATTTTAAATTTATGTTAGTGAAGGCACCTCTGTACTTTTCACCTTGTACCAGGGACTCATTTAGTATCAACTTACATAACAAACTCATTGCATATGATTTGAATGTGAATACTGTATTAACTTTTATAATAATAAACATGTAACTAATGACATCTTCATGGTCACGAGTACTTCTAACATATTTTTTGTGTGTAGAAACAGAAAGCGAGCCTGCATGAAGTGCACTGGCCTTCCCTCCCCAGAGGGACTCGGCCAGGTGATGAGGCATCGCCACACGCAGCACAGCTCTCTAGCACTCACAAGCATCAGCTCATTCAGTGCTCACAGTAGCCTATTTAGTAGCTTCTCTACAGACGAGGAAGCTGAAATACAGAGAGGTAACTGGCCCACGTCTCAGAGCCAGTGCATGAGAGACAGGCAGTAGGTTCCCAAGCTTTCACTCTTAATCCTTCTGTCTACACTGGCCTTGTGGAATCAGCCTGGAACCACAGTGGGCTTGTTCCATGTGTTGGGCTTGATTTGTTCTAATTAAGACCAAAAATACCCTTTACAAAATTGTAAAACAGTTATTATCAAGAATAGAAGAGGGCTGTGGCCATTAAAAACAGGCCCCTGCCCTGTTAGCAGCACCTTGTAAGCCAACCACACTGCCTTCCTGGAGTTCTCTTCCAACTTTTCTCAGGAAAGAATGAAGCCATCTGTGAGAAAAGCCTTCCTCTCCCCGGCCATCTCCCCGCAGGAGATGTGTGCTTTTTCAATTCCCCACCCCCCAAGTTTTAAGATTGGTCCAAATTGTTCCCAAGTTATCAAATATCACAACATCCCTTAGAGATCTGAGGAAGGAATGTGGCTTGTCTCCCTGGGCGGGTGAAGAGCCTGGGCCCTGAAGGCTTGTAGCTGCTAACTCTGGGGTTCCTCACACCACAGCAGGAGCGAGCTCTGAGGGGACAGAAGGGAGGAGAGGGCAGAGGCTGAGCTTGTCTTCTGAGGGTTAAACAAGTCTGCCTTTCTCAAGCTCTTACAGGGTACTTCTGCCTGGTCTTTCTTCTCTATTGTCAAAAACTGTCCAGATCATGGAAATTCTTAGAGACCCAAACCCCAGCAGCTGCTGTGTGGTCAGGCCGTAATGCCCAGGTTCACTAGTGAGATTTCTTCTGGTTTCCAAAGGAGTTTTTAATGGTGTGGGAGAAGAGCAGGGAGAGGGGCCGCATCACCAAACAGCATCTCTTCCCAGCAACTTCTGATGCTAGAGTATTTTCTAAAGAAAATATATTATTTGACTTAAAAACAAATAAATGTGTGTACTTGAAAATGAGTAATTTGTGTGAAAATTTCTTAGATGTAAGTAAATGTTCACAACTTACTGAAACCCCCATATTCCAGTGGAAGTTTCTGACACTTTTTCAGCTTTTATATATGAGTGTTCAGAGTTGTAGGGCAGGGGCTTGCTGGCGTAGCCAAGATTGGTACAGAGTGCACTTCTGAAACCACCAGAGCCTTCCCTTGAAGTTCTTTGCCATTAATCATATATAGCCTTTTTAAAAAGTCACTAGGTCAGCCCCCTAAACTCTGCAAGTTCCATTCAAGAAATTGTGTCAGAGTAACTTGTGATCTCTGTTATGGCCCTGACCTGTGTAGAGGAGAGACTAGGGGCTAAACTTGACTTGGGTAGAGTGCAGGCCTAGAGCTAGACTGCCTGGTACACATCTCTTCACAACCAACCACTTTTAAGCTGTGTCAAAATCGACAGTGTTGTAGAAGAGCCTGAGAAACCAGAGTTCAAACCTTTGCTCCAGCTCTTCCTCACTGTGTGGTCTCCAACAGACCAGTCAGGGAATGTCAGGTCCCTTTTCTGAAGACGGAGTGAAAGCACTGTGTGAATGGCTGGGATGCAGCGGTGCTCAGTAAATCTTCCTTCCCTTTTTTGCCCTTTAATTTCTTGCCAGCAGTACTATGAAAAAATATGAATGTGTAAAAAGTATTTCCCATATACTTTTCCAAAGCTAAGGCTGTCATTTGGGGAGGTATGAAGGAAATTGACCCTTCTGTTAGTAGGTAAGTAACTACTATTGGGTTCTAACAGAAAATGCCCATGGAAGCATGAAGAAGGTGGGTAACTCCAAGAAATTTTTGCAGATGCCCATTGCCACTAAAGAAAGTCATAAAGTCACGGAACTATCAAATGTTAGAATGGGAGGTATATAAGATATGGACTAACTTAGTTTTTCAGCTTTATCCTCTCTACTTCTCATAGATACTCTATAATAAAGCTGTATTTTCTTTTTTAAAAAATTTATTTCAGAGTAGTATGAGGGTACAAATGATCAGGTTACGTGCTTGCATTTGTTAGGTAAAATTCAAGTTAATAGTTGAGCCCTTCACCTACAGAGTGTACTGTTTACCTTACATTGTGTCCACTAGGTGAGAGTTCACCAAGTCCTATCCATCCTCTCCTGTGCCCCCAACCTTCCTCCCCCTCACTAGAATTTAATTTTTCTCTTGGGGTGAGTGTGTAGTTGTTTATCTATTAGTTTCATATCTATTGGTGTGCATTGTATACTTGCTTTTCCATTCTTGTGACACTTCACAAAGAAGAATATTCTTCAATTCCATCCAGGTTAATAAAAAAGATGTAAAGTCCCCACCCATTGTATGGCTGAATAGTAGTCCATGGTATGCATATACCACAGTTTATTAATCCATTCATGGTTTGTTGGGCTTGGGTTGATTCCAGGTCTTGGTGATCATGAATTGATTGGCAGTAAACATTCTGGTGCAAATGCTTGTGGTAAAATGATTTTTTTTCTTGTGGGTAGATGCCTAGTAGTGGGATTGTAGGATCAAATGAAAGGTTCACTTTTAGCTCTTTGAAGATTCTCCATCCTTCTTTCCATAGAGGCTGCTTTAGTTTGCTGTCCCTCCAGCAGTGTAAAAATGTTCCCTTCTCTCCACATTTCTCCACTGCAACTTTGGGACTTTATGCTGTGGGCTATTCTCAGCGCAGTTAGGTGACACCTCAGAGTGGTGTTGATTTTCATTTCTCTGATGATTAGGGACAATGATCTTTTTTTTTCATGTGTTTCTTGGCCATTTGTCTGTCTTCTCCGGAGAAAGTTCTGTTCAAGTTGCTTGCCCACTGATAAATGGGATTGTTTGCTCTTGTTGAGTTTGAGTTCTCTATAGATTCTAGTTACCAGCCCTTTGTAGATTTATAGCATGCAAATATCTTTCTCCATTCTGAAGGTTATCTGTATGCTTTAGTTACGGTACCCTTAGCTGTGCAGAAGCTTTTTAGCTTGATCATATCCCATTCCTTTATTTTTGGTGGTGCTGTAATTGCCAAGGTTGTCTTCTTCATAAAATCGTTTCCTAGGCCTATATTGTTAAGAGCTCTTCTTATGCTTCCTTCTAGAATTTTTTTTTTTGTTTCATGTCTTAAATTTAAAACTGTTATACAGTGAGAGTCAGTTTTTATAAGTAGTGAGAGGTATAAGTGTAGTTTCAGTCCTCTACATGTAACTAACCAGTTCTTTCAGCACCATTTATTAAATAGGGATTCTTTTCCCTGGTGTACATTTTTGTTAGGTTTATCAAAGATCACATATTTTCTGTTAGTCATTCCCTGAGTGAACCTTGAACATACCTTTCAATTTAGGTCTTGCCTATCCTATTTGTTCTACTTGGAAATCATTTTCCTCACTTTAACCTAAGGCAAACCTATTCATCTTTCAATGGCTAACCAGGTTTTGGGGGGAGGGTGGTTTGGTTTGAGGAAATAATTTGACTGTAGGCCTTTCATGATTTTTCCAAACAGATCTGGAGTCTCCCTCCTCTGAATCTCCAGAGCACGTACTATGTTTGCACTTCTCATTTGGTCTTGTGATGTACAGTTAGTTAGGTGTGGCCAAGTCTCCCCTGCCATGTAGGGATTTTTGCTCCTTGATGTCAAGGTCCTTACCCTCTATTTCTTTATACCACTGTGCTACCAGTGTAGGACCTGGTAGAATGAATGTTTGCTGCATAGTTAATTAATTAATTAGCTAATTAATGTATGCATTTATATGTGAATACTTACCAGCTACTAGTACAAATTAAGCCCCCTGATAGACTATTCCTTTTATATATTTGTGATCATTTCTGATATCTACTCTTCTTTCCTAGCAATCATCACAGAACTGGGATAAAAGGCTAAGTATTGATTCTTCGCTCCCAAGTGGCTTTGCTAGCCCTACGGATGAACTACCTCCAACTCGTATCAAGGAATGCCACATTTTGGAAGGGCTAAGAAAACTACAGAAGCGAAAAGTATTACTTGAGCCCCCATCAGTGATAAGCAAATGGGGTTACAAAGATTGTATGGATTCAAATGAAGGAATATACTCTCCAGGAATTAAGAGTAGCAGTGTCAAGGAGTGTTCTCCCTGCAAAACAACTGACACAGGAAGCCCCCACAAGAAGCCTCACAAGGCATTTGTCTTTGATACAGATTCCCACGATGAAGCCAATGACAGCTCTTCTTCCTTAGCGTTGCTCCAAGCAGCCCCAAGCCAAGGCTGCAGGCCCCATGGTAGCAAGTTAACTCACAGTGTTTCTGACAGTCTGTTTGGCTGGGAGCCAGATGGAACGCACTTTTCAGAAGGCACATCCTCAGTTTATCCCAGTGAAAGGCCTGAAAAGCTGACAAGTTGTGCCAGTTCCTGTCCCTTGGAGAGGAACCTGTGCCCAAGTGTGCAGGCACCTCAGGTACCAAGGGAGAGAGATCCATACAGCCAAATCCATGGCCGTGTGGCTCTCAACCTCCAGCTTTCAGACACTGATGACAACGAAACCCTCAGTGAGTTGCACATAGAGAGCAGTGATGAGAAAAGTCCTTCAGATTTGTCTTTGACTGCAGACACTGACAAGTCCTTGGAGAACCTGGATGTCCTCATGGGATCTGGAAAATCTCAACTTGCATCTCCTGGTGAGGAGGGAAAACAAGTGCACATCCGTGTAGAGACTAGACCAAAGACGTTCAGTCTCATTAAGCAGCAAAGGGTTGTAAAAAGGACTTCTTCAGAAGAATGTATTACAGTCATATTTGATGCGGAAGATGGCGAGCCCATTGAATTCAGCTCTCACCAGACTGGAGTTGTCACTGTTACCAGAAATGAAATTTCCATCAATTCAGCTCCTACCGGACCCATGGCAGAACACACTGAACTTTTATCTCAGGGAATTACCTGTTTACAGCCAGGAACAGCTGCAAGAGACTGTCCTTTCTTTAAAAGATCTGAAGAGGAAACTGAGAAACACATTCCAAAAGCTAATGGAGATAATGTCCCTATGGTGCCCACTGAATCTTTGAGCCCCAGGACAGTGATACAAAATACTCAGCAACAAAGGCTGGCCAAGCCAACACACCGCCTGGCATGCCAGAGTAGTTCCAGGTCCTCAGCAGCCATGGGCATATATCAAAAGCAAAGTCTGACGAAAATTCCTGCCAGGGGCAAGTCTTCACCTCAGAAATCAAAACTAATGGAGCCTGAAGCCTCAACACTAGTCCCCTCTTCTGGCCCGGTGACTCTAGAAAAATCACCAGCTTTAGCCCCTGGGAGACTATCACGGTTCACAAAGACTGAAAGCCCAGGTCCCCTCTTTGAATTACGACCAGATTCACACATTCCAAAACACCCCACCCAACTTCCTCATAACTCCAGAGTGTCCAGCAGGAAGGACTGGGTCCAGTGCTCCATGAGCCAGACTCCTGGATCACGGTCAAAATCCCTCATGGAGCCTAGTGATAGTGGAGAGCTCCCCACCAGGGACGGACACTGCAAATCTGGGCCAGAGCTAGGAGCGAGATCTCCTTCTCCCCCACCCCCTCCTGGAAGGTCAGTCTCCCTGCTGACCAGGCCCAGCCATGACTACTTGCCACCACCTTCAACTTCCAAGCTTGAACCCAGGGTCCCCAGTGAAACAGCAAGGATGCTATTCAGATCCCCTCTGGTGAAAGGAACTTCTGCTCCCGTTACATCTTCTCATCAGGCCACGGTGGAAGTACAGAGAAAGAAACCTTCTGTGGCCTTCAAAAAGCCTGTCTTCACTCACCCTCTGCCCTCCCCAGAAACAGTGGTTCAAACCAGGTGCCCTGCTCATACTCCCTCCAGCTCATTCACCGTGATGGCCCCAGGCCCTCCAAAGGTCTCTCCAAAGAGATGCGTCCCCAAAACCTCTCCTCACCAAACTCTTGGGAATACACAAACGGACACAGAATTACGGACTCCCAAGAATTGTCCTTTAACCCATGAGCCACTGGAAATATCATGCTCTAGAAGTGTATCTCCGGGAAGAAAGGGACAATGGAATGACAGTGTGTCCCCATCCCCCAAGCCCTCCTTCTTAGGGGCAAATGAGTCGCCATCATCTCAGGTTAGCAGTGTCTCATCGTCATCCTTCAAAAGCCATAGTGCCCCCCATGGTTGTCAGAGCACTCATGAGAAAGGGCCAAAAACTCGCCTCCCAGTGGGACTCAAGATTCTCATGAAGTCTCCCCAATTGCTCAGGAAAAGTTCCACGGTGCCAGGGAAACATGAGAAAGACAGTTTAAATGAAGCCTCCAAAAGTTCTGTGAGTAAGTCTAAGCCAGAGGACTCCAGGAATCCAGCAAGCCTTGAGGAGACCTCAGTGGGTAACAGAAATGTGACTACACTGGGTCTACAGGTACAGGGCAGTTTAGCTGAAGGGCTTCCCCTGGAAGCAGCACTGCCAGAGTCACTGGAAAATGGGATCCTTGGGGCTGATGGAAGAGATGGGGCAGAAAATAGATCTGTGAAAAGATCTCTTTCCTCCAGCAAGCCACACCTCAAACCCGCTCTAGGCATGAATGGCGCCAAAGCCCGCAGCCAGAGCTTCAGCACTCACTCAGGAGACAAGCCCTCCACCCCACCTGTGGAAGGGCTGGGCAAAGTCCGCACTCAGATCATTACCAACACTGCTGAGAGAGGCAATTCTCTGACCCGGCAGAACTCCTCCACTGAAGGCTCTCCCAGCAAGACCCCTTCTGTTCCCACGTCTGAGAGTCTCCCCAGTGCTGGGCGGTCCTTGGTGCCTCCCTCCTCCCGGCAAGGCTCCCTGGGGAGCTCAGGCAGCTCCAGCAGTCAACATGGGAGTCCAAGCAAGTTGCCTTTGAGGATCCCTCCAAAGTCTGAAGGATCCCTTACCCCACCTGGAAAGGAGGAGCAGCAGGGAGAGTGTCCCAGTGTGGCTGTGCCCGTGCAACCAGCCAGTGACCTCTGCAGGTGCCCTCCCACCCCAACAGACTGCCCTCCAGCCCTGCAAAGCCCAGGGAGGATGCAGCGTCCAAGCTATTTTGAAACAAGCAGGACACCCAAGCTAGAAACTTCTGGAAGGCATCCAGATGGCCCCACAACTAGGACTGGTGCTTTGAGCTCAGAAGCCCCCCTCTCACCCACAATCGAAGAAAAGGTCATGTTGTGTATTCAGGAAAATGTGGAAAAGGGCCAAGTGCAAACACAGTCCCCCTCTGTGGAAGCAAAGCAGAAGCCCACCCCTTCTTTTGCCAGCTGGTTTGGTTTTCGGAAGAGTAGACTTCCAGCTCTCAGTAGCAAGAAAATGGATGTCTCCAAAACCAAAGTGGAAAAAAAAGATCCAAAAGTCTTGGGGTTTGGAAACAAACAACTTAAATCAGAAAGAAAAAAAGAGAAAAAGAAGCCTGAGCTACAATGTAAGATAGAAAATGAGCTTGTCAGGGACACCAAGCCCGCAAATAGTCCAGACGGTGGCTCACAGAGCAAAAATAACTGGAAAACACCACAAGACATTTACAAGCAAACGAAGTTTGAACCAAAAAATAGACCCAGCCCTGTTACATGCTCATCAAAAGATACCTTCCTGACAGAACTTTTGAACAGGTAACTCATTGGAAAAGTGGGGGTAGTGCACTGGGGTCCCTCTCACCCCCTCAAGGAGAGCTGTTTGCTTCCTGTACATTGAGTGCTACTCATGCATGTTTTCATGCAGGCGGAAATGCATAATGGCAGTCTTTTACACATTAGCCAGAATTTAAACAATGACATAAAAGTTAGCAATAAAATGATAATTTAGTCCATGTTACTTTGTTAACCAAACCAATGGTCTTTGAAATTAAAGAATTGTAAGTTTGATCAAGGTTGATAGAAATTCACCCTCCAACAGGAACCATGAATGTACCAAAATGGCATGAAATGGAAGAAAATTACACACACATTTCAAAGCATGCCGATTTCATTGATTGTACTGAGCAAATGTATACTTAGAAACTTTCCAGAGGTAATTACATTTTCTGCCAATCTTAAGCCAGAAATGTATTTAGCAATCACTCTTCAGTGGTTCTCATTTTGCCCTTTCCCATAGTAACCATAAAAATAAAAATAAATTATCATATTATGAAATCTAAATTGACACACTTCTAGAATATTTGAAGATTTGATCAAGGATAGTGAGAAACACACTCAAAGATTTCAAGACAAAGAGCTACATGGAGATTACTTTAAACATTAAAAAATTGGGAATAGGAGAGTGGTTGAGGAAAAGCAGTGTAATTTATCCAAGGAATCACTTTCTACCTGCAGGGTGGATAAGAAAGCAGCTCAACAGACAGAAAGTGGATCAAATAATGTTTTCTGCAAGAATATGCTAAAGGGCAGTTCCCAGGGCTCCTTTGTCACCGTCAGCTCTATCAGCACTCAAGGAAACCACAAGAAAAACATCAAAACCAAAGCTGATATGGAAATACCAAAAGACTCCCTGGTAAGTGCTCCACCATGCTGGTTATCGAATGCTACGTTCTGAGGTGTTCTGACAGGGTTCCTTCTACTCTTTGCTGATGAAAATACACGAGTCTGAGATTATGGGGGGAAAGAGAAATTCAAACAAAAAGATGTTTAAAAAGAGAATGAAATCCTGGTGATAACTGCAGCAGATAGCTGTCAGCTGGACCAAGAGTGGGCATGGCTCTCCCCAGGAAAAGGGTTTTCCCAGCTCTCTTTTCAGAACGGTGGTTTAATCGCAGTGCATTGCTGGCAAATGATGCTACCAGTGTCATCTTCCAGTTAAACCTTGGGCTGGAAATTTGTTTTGATGATTATTTCCAGCATTACCAGTGGCAAAAAAGGAATGAATATGATTTAAAAAATAAAAGTACCAAAGCATTTAAGAGAGTATTGGCTATTTTGATGACTAGATTTAAGCATTGTTCTTTTTTTATGAAGAACATTGTAGGAACTGATACATCCTACTGAGACAGAAGATTTTAAGGCTAAGAAGTCTTTTTTTGGAACTTAGCTCCCTATCATTTAGTTTATGAGAACTCAGGGAGTAGACTTTCTTTAAAAAGTAAGTAAATAAAAGAGTATTTTTATATTTCCCTAGGGTATGTTGGGTTCAGATAATATTTTTGTTTTAAAATTACCGTAAGTTACATTTACTATCCTTACATTCTTTATGTTCTTGTATAACAGATTTGATTATGTTCCTTGTTTGTTATAGGTAGAGCACTTAACCCCAAAAAAAC